CTCAGACCCTCCTGGGATCCCATGGGACAAGTGCTCCAGTCCTGACCAGCACAGGGCCATCCGGTGAACCTGCTCCAGTTTATCAGTGCCTTTCTTCTACTAGCAGGTCCCCACATGGTCACAGCATCCAGATGTGGCTTAACAACTGCTGAGAAGCTGCCTGCTAAGCCGTGGACCTGTGCTGATGAGCGAGTGCTGGTCTGAGCTGTCAGAGATGTCTTTCTCCCCCTGCCTCAGTGCCACTGGCTAGTACCCCATAGCACCCAACAGAAGGAGATACATGAATGCCCTTCGGCTCTTCCAGTGCAAAGCAATCTTGAGGAATATCATTAATGTGGAGTGCTAAAAGGCCAGATACATGGTCTCCTCTGCTTCCCCTGCTATGGTGTTTGGTAACCACCAGTGGATAGGAAGGCTGGAAAACAGCAGCTCTTATACCAGGTTTATAGCCATTAGCTCTCAAGAACTTCGCAAACGGTGTTTGGATCATTATTCCTGTTTTGTAAATCAGGAAGCTGAGGAACAGAGGATGGAAGTGATTTGACCAAATTAATTTAGCAGCGACTGGGAAAGGCTGGTGTTGATTGTGTGCTACCCACATGTGGTGCTTTCAAGGCACCAAAGAAAGGCAATGGGGGAGACTTGTGGCTCTCAGTTCCTGCAGCATCTCTAGAGCTCAGACCGACCTATGCTTCCCATCAGGACACAGAGCAGGTGCTCTGCTGCGTGTTGCCAAGTTCCTGCTTGGGAATCTGGCAGGTGAGAGTCTAACAGCACCTTTCAAACTGTGCATTTTTATGGCTCCAGAGTAGAAGTGCTGACCAGAAACAACATGAATTAGTCATAATCTTATCAAAAATATTTTATTTATGAAAGTAACAATTATACTATACAACCTATACTGGAAGTACATTGAATAATTGCTAGAATAAATACAGGCAATTAATTCAATCTTTTTATAGAATGAGAGGATTTATTTGACATTTGAATGTTAACCCAAGCTTTAACTTACATCATAAATAGTTAAAAGGCATAGTCAAGTTTTTTTCTAAAAAAATTTACTGTTTCTTTTGCATGTTTTTAATACTGTTTTACTTTGTAACCAACACGAATCAACTCTCCAATCATTAACATAATATTAGTATGACTTTCAAGCAACCATATACCTCAAGATAATCAGACAAATAAGGTAGTGTGTGTCCAGTTCACTCTACAGCAGAATCTATTCATGTCTGCATAAAAAAGAGAAGCTGAAAATGCTTCTAAGTTCTTTAAGCATCATATGCTGATTTCTGCTTTACCACAGTGCTTTTGATACCAGAATCTAAAAAGGGCATATATCTGTATGCAGCTGGCATTCTGTTGCTCTTTGCTTGTATGTATATCAGGGCTCAGTGCCACATTCCTTTGGCTGGTGAAAGACTGAAGAATTTAGGCCTGAATACCATTTCTCAAAACCATAGTCCAAAATAAATGTCCTAGACTTATGATTAGGCATCGAGGAAGTGGTGGATTTGCTGTTACTTGAAGTTTTCTGATTAAGAAATGGCTTCTTTTCTGGTAGATACGCTTTAGTCAAACACAAATCATTGAACTCAGTATAGGGGTCTGCATTATTCTAGATGTCAGAGAAGCTGATGATTACTGTGACTGTAAACTCTCTGAAGGGCAGTGTAGTAGTATTATTGTAAGACACCCACATGTTGAAGATTTTGACATTTTTCTTTCCATGTTAATTTTTTAAACTCAAAAATCTATCTGCTTGGTACCCACAGATTATGAGGAACTGTAACCATTAGGGAAGTCAATAGCTGTTTTGGGTGACCAATATATCTCCATACCAGAAACTTTTGCCTCACTGAGTCCCACATAAAATCGATGAGACTTTTGCTATGAACTTCAGTGGCATCAGGGCCTGGCTTACTGCATGGCTGTTGTGCATGGCAGAGATGGCATGCACTTACCAGAGAAGTGAAGTTCCCTTTTACAATGTTATCCAAGCAAAACAAAACCCCAAATTGCACATATCTACCCCTTTGGCCTTTTTGTATGCACAGATATGATTATATTCAAAAACTGGAAATGTTGAGCTTTTCCTAATAAACATCTTCAAAGCGCACATTTAAATACATTTTCACAGAAATAACCATTCATCAGTTGTAAAGATGTAGAGAAACATTTTATTCTTCCTATTATGAACAATATCAAATCAGCCTATTTTTTAGGGAAAAAAATGTGATTGTTTTCAAAACCTATTTTAAAAGTATAAAGAACAAAAATGTTGGGGAGGCAGCTTTTTGGCAGATAAGTAAAATATAAAATATGTGATTTAAAAAAAAAGTCTTAAAAATACACTCAACAAATAATACAATAATATAAAAATACAGCATAGCCAATGGCTTCTTAAAATTTACCTTTGGCATTGCATTTGGCAGCCTAACACAAAAGACCCTTCCTATAAACACAACTATAAAAAAAAAGAGAAGTTCATAAATTAGGTTGCAAGGGGTTGTAAGATCCTTTGCTTGATTCCCAAACTCCTTTCCTTCCTGTCCACACACATAAGCATGACCAGTGAGGTATATAGAACGTAACACTGTCAGGCGTATGCACAGTTAAAAAGTGCATAAACAAAGAAGTCGTCCCATTTTCTTGCGAACAGGTTGAATCTGTGTGGTTTGCCTTTTTTCCCCCCTTGGAAAAAAAAAATCAATTTTATTGTTTGTTTTCTTACTTTGGCAGGATGAAAATGAACCCAGAGGAATACAAATGTCCTATTCCCAGCAGCAATGATCCATTTCCCTTGGCAACATTCATCTGATGCCTCAAATACTATAAGGTCGTTGGGTTGCTTGAAAACGCTCTGGGTAACTTCCCACGGAAACATCATACGTCTAGCACCATATCATAGTGTTGCTCTTTCTTCCGCCTGCCACATTTGGTGATAAGAACCAAGTACAAAGTCAAAAGCATAACCCAGTAACATGCATAGAGTATCGTGCCAATGATGAGAACTGTCTGCTTTGACTCAGAAAATGGCTTTTTGGATTCCTTGTAGATAGTGAAAATTACTCCACCTAGGAGGATTGTAAACCAAATGGAGACTGGGATGAGTCCTATAAAATTGACTACAATGGTTTTTCTTCCTGACGTGCCCCACCCTGCTTTGTTTATCGTGGCAATGGCAAACATCTTTGCTGGCAGTAAACTTGACATGTACAACACTGAGTAGAGTGACATGAAAACCATGACAATGTTTCCCCTAAGGAAGCTGGCAAAGGAAGACTTTATCAGGCCCACTAACTGAACTGTCAACAAGAAAAGGAGGATGTTCCAGATTTTTCCCCTGTAGAAGAGCTGAATGACTGTAGCAATAAGGAAGAAAGGAAAGAATCCAGTGATTACAGCTTCATAAGTCATCCACAAATGATGCTTGTGGAACCACATTGCATTATAAAGCCACTCTCTAAAGTATGATTTACTCCAGCGGGTCTGCTGATTCAGCCACCTGAGATACTCTATCGGTGTTTCGGTAAGGCACTTGGATCTAGCTGTGTACTTAGTTGCATAGCCCAGGCTTAGCACTCGGTTAGTTAGATGCCTGTCATCTCCAAAGCTGCACTGGGAGCCCATAAATTCTTGATTGTACCAATCTTCCACAAATTCATGGAGTAATGAGTTTCTGTACATCCCCAGAGGTCCGCTGATGCACTGTACGCAGCCAAAATAGGACTGGCAGGCTCTTTCTATGTTAAATGCCATCCAGTATCTCACGCTGCTGAGAAAGGAGATCCAGGAATCATATTTGTTCAAAATCTGAAAATACAAGAGGTTTTTATTTTAAATGAGCTCTTGAGAAAGAAAATAGGCACATTAGAGCAAAAAGGAAATTGAAAAGGCTAGAGTAGCATTAACCAAAATGTAGGGGAAAACTTGCGCAGGTGCACATCTCAGCATAATCTAGGCATAATCTAGGCATTATCTATACAGTGCAGGACACTGATAAGAAGGGCAAGGTGAAGTCCTGGAAGAATCTATTCCACCAAAATGCTGTTCTATCTTTTCTCTTCACCTTTCCTCTTCTCCACCAAAAGCTTCTTTCCTGGCTCATTCTTCCTTTTTCTTCATCTCAAGTTAAGCGGGTGGGAGTACCTCATATCTAGTTTAAAATTTCAGTAAGCAAAAGACTTGCCCTAGATGTCTCAACATAGACTGATATTAGGTCCTCTAAGAAACAGTTTGGTGTGGTTTGTTTGTGAAATACCAGTCCTGTTATGTTGTCCCAAGACATACTTCACTATAAGTTAGAAGGTGCGGGCCAAGTAGCCATAGCCAAGACTGTGGCACCTACATAAAGGGCTCAGTCTTTTCTATGGGCCCCAAAGCTTACCAAAACCTCAGATCTACATAAATGTAGTCTGAGAGATCCAGTGCTAAATGGAGGTAAGAGAGTGCTGATTTCCCAGTCACTGTCTTTACTGACACATTCTTAGCATTCACCTGTGCTGGAGGATGCAGCAAGGAAACATGTAAGAACGTGGCTACACCAGCATTGCACAACATGCCAAGTGCAGAGATTTCCAGGGAAAACTGTGGCCTTTCAGGACTAAAAACAAAACTACAACTAGAAAAAGCATATGGTCTTTCACTCCAAAGATCCTGATTTCTATCATGTCAATATGCTGGAAGCCTTAGGACCAATTTTCTCCTGTTTCAACTTTAATTTCAAAATGTTTTAGAAGCCCCAGGACTTATGGAGAGACTCAGGCCCCATTCAAGTTTATTATTTGTCGTATGCTGGCAAGTGAATTGGGAAAGAGAAAGAAGTACAGACCCTTGATGCTGCCTACATTCCTCGCAGAGCACACACGTCCTCCCATCTCTCTGTGCAGGACCTTATGAACCATCCACCTTAACGGCTGAACCTCCATTTGTACTCACAAGTGTAAGGTAAATGTGATGCCTGGTTTGTAGTCAGCCCAGATCTGCAAAGATATTCAGGCTTCTGTGGGAAATTTAATTTCTAGAGCTGAGCCACATGCCTGAAATATTTTGAGCCTTCAGTAGTAAATGCTTGCCCATATAGATGGCTTTTTCTCCTCCATTGCACATAAAAGCCCTAATGATTACAAGGGACAAATCCCAAAGCCAATTGAAATGTTCATAGGCATTTCTCTGTATTTCACTATAAATTGCAGTAGAAACAAATGTTTCAAAAGGAATGAACAGCCTTTTGCTGCAACTATCAGAAAAACTCTGGAATGCTAGAAATCCTAACAAAAGTGGATCTGGACTGACTTTGGGGATTTCCATTGTCGTGCCTGACACGCACAAGAAACGCAGAGGAAATCCAACCATACATAGAGTGTGTGGTGCACTGGCTTTCAAAAAGGCTTTTATTCATAAAAATCTTGGCTGCCAATAGTGACATAATTAAAGTTCTTGGAGTGCTGGACTTGGTTTTGGGAAACCTATTTTCAGTTTCCAGATGCCCTACGAATTTTTTTTTTACACCGTGGGTGAATAGTTATAGCTAGAGTCTCAAAGATGCCACAAATTCCTGACAATCCCAGTGCTTCACTTTTTTCATAAACTGGGGAGAATTGTCTGCTTTCTACGGGTGTTCATGCAATGCAGTGTTTGCATCTGAGAATAAAGGATTCTAATTAACAGATAAAAAGGGTTAGGTCTCAAAATAACCTCTGTCTATCCTTCTATATCCCAGTATATTCAACTCTATTAATTTCTTGCAGGGACAAGAATTGCAGTATAAACATTTACTGTTGAAACTCCCCTGTATAAACATTTACTGTTGAAACTCCCCTGTTAGTCTGCAATTCCTTGTACTCACCTGCACATCACCTCCAACTCCTCCAACCATGGGATCTTCTTCTAAAACTTTTACCATCTCCACTGATGAGGCTGGATCAAGCATTGTATCTGAATCACAGACCTACAAGGAAGACAGAACAAGGGAAAAATGGGTTAAGCGGGACAGTAGGAATTAAAAATAAAATCCTGTGAGTAACTGTAGAGATTCAATATGCCTATTAAACGCAATTAAATCTCCCTTTGGAATTTGCATCAACACTTCTGGTGAAGGCCCTTTGTATCAGGCAACAGGAGCGGTGCTGAATGAGAGAGAGTCTTGTCAGGGCTGTTCACATAAATAATTTTCTTTCCTGTATTAACTGCATTTGTTTTATTGGAACATGTAATTGTCATCTTTGAATAAGAAAGATGCTCTCAAAGACAGTGCACTGAGAATCCACAGCAGAGCAAGAGTGTGTTTTTGGGTGCATTGCAGATTCCTGTTGAGCTGTGATATGGGGTTTACTCCTGTTGGCTGCGTGGTTGTAGCCATAACGGGGAAGGAGAATGTTTCTCACTCCCATATTCAGGAAGGAGAAAGCAGTTAAATTCCAGACGCTTGTTTAAAAAAAGAAGAAGTCAGTTAGGAGACTGGAAAGAAACCTAATAGTTTTTGCACTCACAGAAGGCTTTAGCAATTTGTGTAAAATATGTATTTTAGATTCCAGGACAAACTCTTTTTTAATTTTAGTTGCATGGTGTGTTATTAGTAGTGCAGGGATTTGACATTTGATATATAGAAATTATTTGGTATATTCTTCTGGCATTCTTATACAAAATAAGAAAGCAAGGCCAGAAGGAGCAAGCCCATGAGTGCAGTGTTCCATGAGACTGGAGCAGAAATAGATGACACACACAAAGGCGTTTCAGCCACACAAACACTCCCAGTCAACTGCATACTGTGTACATTAGGAGCTGGTTTTCCCCCGGAGAGTAGGAGGAGGGCTCAGACAGGCTGGCCGGTCTGCAAGGCGGCTGGCATGGCTTTAATTTGCTCGGAGGCTAATGACATGGGCTGCAGCCTGCTCAAACGGCCGGGTGCCTCCCGGTTGCAGCTGCTGTGGGAAGTGGTGCTCCCCAGTTGCCTGTGAACTCATTTCTCAGGCGCCCAGAGATTCTAGCAAGGGAGGCTGTCCCAGAAACTCCCAGAAACACCCCTTTAACTGGCTGGATCCTGACCATAAATTCTCCTGCTGATTCCATTCTATCCACACTTTGCATTCCTGTGATTTCAGATGAGTATGGCAGTGGCAAAAGTCAGTATTTCTGAATGAGTTGCCTATTAAGTCAGATCAGGATGCGGCTTCTGATCAGGAATCCTAATTCTACTCTCCTTTTGGCCAACCTTTTAATTTAGCCTAAGTCCCCTTGCTCCAGGAGATTCATTCCTGATTTGGAATTAATTTTCTGAAGGAGAAGGAGAGCTTTTAGGGGCATGAAGAAGCCTGCAGTCTCTGTTATGGGCCAGATTCATGCAGGGAGGTTACCCGGGATAATAAGGCTGCATAGCTTGGGATGTAGTTGAGTATCTGCCAAAATGCTTCCTTTCCAAGTGTACTCAAAGGGGGGTGAGAGGAGGAAGCTGATGAAAGCTCTCATATTTCCGTCAGGAGAAAAGCCACAAGCATCCCTAGCTCCTGCTAACTTCAAGTATCCAGCTCCTCTCCTTAACAGCTTCCAGCTCAAGAAGGACCTTTGTAACCTGGCCAACATATCTTTCCAGCTATAGTGGAAAGCTGTCATCGGTGATAGGACTTAGTGATAAAAAGGCAGCAAAGCAATTCTGCTGAAGAGAAGAAAGGATGCCCTGTGTATCTAACTGTCTGGGGCTTCCTGAATGGACACGTCTCAGTTTGCTTTGCCTGGCACCTCTGTAATTTGCTGGGTACCCTGGCCTCAGGCAGAGAACACCGGTGTCATATACATCACTGGTGTCATATACATCACTATTTCTTCTGCATATGTGAGAAGGGGCTGATCCCCAGGATCAGGGCTGATGATCCAGTGGGATCAGCGCTGTCCACAGCTGCTTAGTATTCCTTGAGGTCCTCTGTGACTTCAAGTGACCCCCCCAGCACATTGCATGTGTTTATCTCTGGCAGAGAAACCTGCATGTGAGCAACACTGCTAATACAGCATGAGGAATTCTGAACACATTGGATTTATTTACAAATTACCAACATGTGTCCCGGGCATATCAGCACTGTGGACATGTGTGGGCTTCTGGTACAAACCAGACCAAACTGTTGTTTCCCGCCTGGGGGAGGTTTTTCCAGGTGAGAGGAAGACATTTCCACAAAAAGGTAAACACTTAGGAGTCCTAATAAAACACACCAAGGTCTGCACAGCAAAGGCTGGCCCAGTACACTCCATCGACAATTTGTCATATTTTCACATAAGGTCTGAGCAACCTAGACTTTACTACCCTGGGTCACAGACTTTTCTGTGTTAAGCTGGGAAGAACAGCATCCTGAATTCTACTGGCTGCTTCAACTAGCCCTGTGCTGACTGCAAGAAGAGCTCAGAGCGACTTCCTTAGATGCAGACCACCATGTCTGGTGGGATGAATACTGTCCCTAAGGTCTTTATGCCCTAAAACAGCTTGGTGTTTGTACTCAGCTATCAATCATGATCCTACTGACAGTACAGGACAGATTAATGCCAAAGAGAAATGAGTGCCAATCACCTGAAAATGATCTGCCAGTTTAGCTGCACTAACTGATCACTTGCACCCTCTTAACCTCCTCCATGAAACAAGTAAAGCCTTCATGGTGGTTTCAGGTATTTGAGAAGACCCTTTAATGATCAGCATCTCATTGATATATATTGACCTGACTGCTTACGATTTTCTCTCCACAACCGTTAGGCAAGTTTTAAGAACTGTGAGGTCAGCAGCTTCAGAAGTTGGCAGTCATGCTTACTGATCGTTTTTTTAAGTGCTTGATCATCAATGAAGATTGCTCAGGACTTAAAAAAGGTCGTACCATTTTTAAATTATTTACTCAGGGTCCACCCAAAGAATCATTTGGAAAATCTGGACTTTCATTCATTCATAAAATGATGTCTTAACTGTGTTGAATCACCACTGTTTAGTAACCAGAACAACCAGGTTCCTGCATTTACAGTATAGATGTGACAGGAGCTGTGTCTTTGACATTGATCATTAATGCAGTATTAGGTGGCTGCCCTGCAGTAGTATTACATTTCCTGAAACATTCATCAAGACTTTTGGTCAGGGCAGGAGTGTTAATTGATTGAAAAAAAATCTATAAAACATCTTCTACTTTTTCAGTTTAGGACATGCTTGTTAAAATAGAAACACTTTTTTTTTTCTGGGTTACTTGAGCTGGACTGAGGAAGGAAAACTGCAATTAATCTGTTTCTCTGCTTTCTCTCTCTGCAATTTGATACTCCTATGCAAAGTAACTATAAAACCAGACCAATGCAAAACAGCAGCGTTTTTATACCCATCACAGTTCCTCACAACACAGAACAGAAGCGAGGACAATGGAAAACTTAAGGCCATTGTTTTCAGAGAATAAATTGCTTTGAATTTTAGAAGTGGATGAGTTGTAAATCTTTTTCTTACACCAGAAACTCTGATAACAGACCATTTCCCAGCAGCAATTCAGTTTCTGTTTCCCTTGTCTTTGGAGAGCTTGCGGCTCTCAGACCCGCGACCTGGCAGCCTTTCCCCCCTGCCATCCATGCTGTAGACATGCAGATCTGCACAGCGGAGGGGGCCACACGATGTCCCAGTGGTGGTGGGACACCCACAGAGAGCACCTCGCGCCAGATCAGGGCAGTGCTAAGGGTGGAGCAGAGGGAGGAGGCCTAAGATCAGCGGAAGGTCAGTCTGAGTAATTAAGACCACCTCATATTCCGAGGGATCAGTCAAACGAGCCTTGCTGGTCTTGATGGTCAAGCAGTGATTCTCACGATCCAGGCAAGGGCCCTGATTCTACAAGCCTTCCTAAACAAGTCTGCCTCTATTTTCTGAAGTCAGCAGGACTGTTCTCAGGAGCAAGGAATGCTTCCAGGTGTAAGGCAAAAAAATAGAAAAGCTTTCATAGGATCCAAGGCAGCTGGAAAGAAATGTGTCTCTGCTGCTCTGGAGACAGGGAGAGACGACCTAGCCTAACTCATTTTTAAGTGAGTAGTGTCATAAGGGTTTTAAAGGCCAAGTCGTGGTAAGTGAGGTAATGCAGCTGTAAATGATGAAGCAAAAGCTCCTTCAGGTTTTAGCTGAAGATATCTTTCTTTCAAGGCTGCACATTGACTCTTTCATGGAGCAGTCCATACAGTCTTTGAAGACCTTAAAATACGACCATCTTTTTAAAGACTCTACAACTGCTTAAAGATATCCCCTAGCACCACGAAATACTTTACTGCCTGCTTGCATACAAGTTTTGCTAACATTCACACAAAATAAGAAGTTACCTCATATCTTCACTTACATGCCTAGAGAAAGGGATTTTAGGAGACCATTGGCCTTATTTGAAGCAAAACCATTTTGATAAGGGAGCAGTGCTGAATTATTTCAGATTTCTCCAGTAGCTGGTGCACAGATTTAACATATTCACAGATAGATCGACCATTTTAAAAATGTAGCAAAATACGCTTTTAACGGTCAAGCTGTTTCCAAACAGACTGAAAGGAGCACTGTGTTCATCAGGGAGTAGGATGGCCTCTAACATGCTGCATAAAATATACAAAAGCTGCTTTCTTTCAAAGTGTGTTTGAATTGGCACTGACCTGGCGCTTTAATACGTACCTGTACATAATCCACGCTTCTGCCCAGTGCTTTGAATGCTGTGTACATTACTTCTCTTTTTCCGCCCCATTTCTGCATGATGCAAACACTTTTGTTGGACAGGACCAGCTGAGATACATGCTGCATGCTTTCTCTGTGAGACTCATCTGTCTCATCTGGACCTTTGTCATGGAAGTTATTCTTCCAGACGTAAGTGGCAGACTTGTCCCTACCCATGATTTCCGTAAAAATGTCCATCATGTAAACGTCGTCTTCCGAGTTCCCATCAATGACCATAACAACTTTAATTCCAGGGTAGGTCAATCTTTTCACAGAAAGTAAACATTTTCTTAAGTAGTCAGGATCCTCTTGATAGGCAGCAATACAAAGGGCAACTGTTTTGTTCAGCTTGATTGGAGTCTCTAGCGACCGCTTCATTTTCCTGTGCTCTAGGAAGGCAAACAGGCTTTGGATGATGAGATGTGATGCCAGGATAGCACCATAGAGTCCAAAGGAGAAATAGTAATTGTCCGTTTGGATAAACTGGTAGCCAACAATGTAAGCAGCAGTGATGCCGAGCAGGAGGGACACCCCAAAAAGCGTGGTTCCAAGTATTCTCAGGATACAAATAAACCTCTCACAATACATCTGCAACAGAAACAGGGACACAATTAGCACAAGGACCCTTTCCTCTGTGTAAAGTAATGCTCAAATGCACCTTAAAGTACCAGGGGTATGTACTACTAACTGTAATGTCTTCCCAGGAGATGCTGTGTGTGTCAGGATCTTATTTTGGAGGTCTGGGCTTGCTGAATGAGACATGCTGTCATATTATCCAGAACAGTGGGGTGAGTGGAGAAGGGGCCTTTGGGCCACCACTCGCTTCATATGGTCACAGGCAGGAGGAACAGCTGAGTGTCTGGGCAGCCTCTCCCTCCCCCATCCGTGTCATGACTGCATCCAGCCCTGAATCACTTCTGTCACTTAGTTATGTTTGCAAAAATATCGGAAAGACATTCTTAAAACAGATGTCTGAATGTATTTATAATTTGTTAAACAGATGTCTGACTATATTTATAATTTGTATTTATATAATCAGGCATCTGCTCTAAAAGGTCTTCTCAATACCACTGCAAAAATGCATTATTCATACATTTGTGTATATAGATATATCCATGTGCGAGCATGTGTGCACATGGCTAAAACTGGATTGAGACTAAGTATGTGGCAAAAGTGCGCATTAATTTAACAGAGCCAAAGTTTCACCCTGGGCTCCAGAATTCATTAGAATACCATCTGATTCTGACACCTTTGCATGCTTAGATTATTTGTCTTTAAAATCTTCCAACATAAGCTCTAGTTTATGAGAGCGTAGCTGAGATGGAGACTGCTCTGATGGCCATGAAACAAATGATGGATACACAGAGAGGAGGCAGACAGGCAGAATATATTACTCAGCTGATTTTTTTTTTTTTTGGCAGTCACATTAGCCATTTTATGCAACAGCTTTCTCATAACTACAGAAAGTTAATGACAATGTTTTTTGTCAATGGAGGTATTTGACATTAGGAACATAAAGTGGGTAAGGCCTCTTTAAGGCTAACCCAACAAGCACATGATCTCAATGAAACTGAAGCACATGCTTTGAGATTTTGCTGAATTAAGGCCTCTCAGGGTAACGGACGTAATATTTGTGTTTTCTTGCTGCTATTCATATTTTCCCTGATGCTGTCATCTTGCTTTTCTACTGACAACGTTTGTTTCACCATCTGTTGGCCAAATCTGAAGCTGGAACACCACTTCCTTACATCATATATAGGTTTAACTCTTTCTTGTGAAATACTTGGAAAAAAAAATATTAGTGAGCTCCAGCAGCATAGTGCTCAGAGATTACAGTCTTTCTGAAAAGTTACAGGCTTGGGAAAGAAAATTTCAACACGGAACCAATTACAAAATGAGAATAAACCAGGTGATTATGAAGTCTGAGGTTATGAAGATTATGCTTTTTCCAATGGCTATTTAGGGTCTTAAATTTCAAGACAGGAGGAAGCCTCTTAAATACATATTTGGCGATACTGTTAAAGAAATTGGACTCTATCTCTAGGACTTCCTTGAACACTTAGGGCTGGGCTCCAACAGGTGCTGTAATCACCCAGCAGCAAAAGGGTCTTCCCTGATCTGTCCTGTCTAAAAGCCTTTCACAATAGGGGTCACAGAGAAGCCTAATAAAAGATAGATTTTACAACCACAGTTATAGGTGAATTAGAATACAGTCCCCAAAATAGACCAGCTTTAGAAAACAGATTAAGTAACACATTGCCTCCAGATTGCCTTGAAGTCGAATAGCCTGGGTGCTTATTAATCCCACAGGTAATCAAAAGGTCACAAACATCAAGGTAAATGTTTCATTAGCGGTGCGGTTGTGCTATGCTTTCTCGTTTTGGATCCACTGCTTCTCTTCTCTTGCCAGAAATAGAAAATTTCTAGTAGTAAGGAGGAGCCAAAGTCTGCCTACATTAAGAATTACACCACTGAAATCAATGGACTGCTTGTATGGGTAGAGCTCACAGGATTTAGATTAACATCTGGAGTGTGCACATTTGACTAACTATATATTACTCCAAGTTTCTTCTTATATTAACTTTTTGTTGCTTTTTTCTTCCTATGAAGCGCTTCCTCAAAGAAAGAAAAACAAGAAGTGAATTCTCTGATCTTGTCATTACAGCACAGCTTCCTGCCCTCCCCAAAATACAGTCTTCTAAGATCAAGAAATTGATTTCTGGTCTTAATAAAATAGCTTTTTTTTTTTTTTCCCTTTCTTCCTTTTTTAGTTTCTATCCTTTAACTGTCAACCTTGGGAAAATAAACTGTATTTTGATCTAAATTCCTGGCTTTCATCAAAGAAATTTTCCCCTTTGTATATGAAGCTGAAGGTTTTATGCATAGTCTTTCAACTGACTGAACCTCAGGCAAAGGCTGGAAAAAGTTGCTCAATATTCTCCACTTTAGCATGTGAGCTATTGAGTTGCCCAGTCGAACTGATTTTTATCAGCCTGAAAGTGCTCAAACAATGACAAAGCAGCCAAAACCTCTCCACCCTTCTCCAGTAATACAGCCAAAAAAATAAAGGGAAATGACGTTTGTACAAGTCTAGGGCCAAAAAAGAAATGCTGAGTCAAACAATAGCCCTGAGGATAGAGAACAGCTACACTGCAGATTTTAAGACCAGACAGTGCTGCTATGAATATTTAGTCTGGTCTAATAAAGTGCAATACAATATCCTCAGTCAGTCATCCATTAAAATTTTCTAATATCCTTAGTCAGCCCTCAATTAAAATGTTCCTAAACTTGTTACCTACACCTAGAATCAAATATTACCAGAGAAACAGTGTGCAATACTCTGCTATAGCACTTTAAGCCTAATATAATGCCAGGCTGAATCAAGACATGTGGCAAATGCATGGTGAAGGCCGAGCACTCACATTAACTTTTGCAACCATGGTTGTTTTTTCCGTCACTTCCTTGGTAATTGCCCTTTTTAAGTGTGAGCAAAATTCCTTTTCACAAAAAGTATATGTTGATATTCAAAGGTGCCAGCACTACAGCCCCACTGAACAGCTGACTAATTGGCGTGAAAGTGCTGTAGATACACCATAGCGTGATCTTAAAATAAGTAAATAAATAAATTGAACAGCTCTGCATAGGCTAGAAATCAGGTGCCCCGGACAAAGCAGACCTGCAGCCAGCCCTGTCTTATTTCTCAGTATCAACAGAACTAGGTCCAGCACATTTTTATATACACATTTTTTAGATACAAGGACCTTTTGCTATGCTGAAAGAGAGGAACAGAGATTCTCAGCTGCCAAAAAGGTCAGTGAGTGGTTAAAACATGCCTCACTGTCTCTGACCTCAGTTTTCCATTTTCTGGGCGGGTTTTTAACTAGTTCTATAAAACAGGAGGACAAGGATGATACCTGCAGTGTTCTCCCCTTTCTTAGGGTGAAAGGAAAGAAGTCAGGGGGTCCATGCCCTGCGCCAGCCTTAAAGCAGATTTTGAGCAGGCAATGAGACTAAGGTTTCCAGTGATTTGGAATTAACTCCAGGCAGCTGCACATCACATACTGACCTGCTCATGGCACCACGTGTGTCAGATTCTTTTTGGAGGTGCCCATGTGCCCCATGCATGGTACTGGGAGCCTACAACAAGACTGCTAAATTTTTCTGCGTGGTCAGAGCACCTCAGTCCTTCATGGGGACCCTCATCTAACACCACAGTGCTGAAGCCAATACGAGCTTTAGTGTTGACTCCAGCAGGTGGGATCAAGGTTTATACACACAAGATAAGTGGCTGTAGAGACTGCTCTGTACAGTGTCTGCATCCTGTTCAGCATCCTGATAAAGCTACACAAAAAGTAGGGCTTTCCTGCTACACTTGTGATGAAGGAGACCATATTCTACATTAACAACTGGCAAAGCTAAAAGCTTCTGGCATTATTTTTATATAAAATTCTATGTTAACAAAATGCTGACAGATACCTGTAATGAACCTCTGGTAACTGAGGGGTTACCTCCAACAACAGAAGCTCTTCCTCCTTTCCCAGGCTAAGCATTGCCTTAGATTACAAATCAGTGCATGCCAAAATACGCTTTCATTCTCCCTATTCTCTGGGAAATATTTAGTCTAGA